ACTGCATATCACATGTATTGCATCATCAAAGACATGAATTTCCACTCAATACTTCATCAAATATTAGCACCATCCCCAATTCACATAATTTATTGTCTGTAATTCCTAGCTACAGTGAGGCCTCCTATGTCATGTCGTGAATTCTACTGCAATGTGACTTTTCAAACACCCTGTATATTTTCCTCTAAGCTGCTCATAACACTTGTGCAATGTTATTACTCTAATGTATGTATGCATAAACATTGTTACAGGATTATTGCTCCTCTTATGTATCCATATTTTCATCTCAGTAGCACTGCCTATGGGGAATGTGATTCTTTCATTTAACATTCTCCCATTGATATCCTGATACTATTATCCAAGTTTCACTTGGCTGTGGTGTACAGTTTTTGTGCCAGTTATGTACACCAGCCAACTGACCTTATAATCACCTGTATACAAACATGTTCTGGAGTGTCTCCCCAGGACAGTAGCTAATGCACTCCATTGCTATCTCCATCACTCATTACTGAAAGCATTCTGTATCCTAAGGACATTGATTGACTCAGTTATGAGTTCATCTGTGATGTTTCTCTCTTACTTATCCTATGTGCAAATATATTTTAGTGATGGTGAGCTTTCCACTAGACGATGAGCCAGATGTATCTCTGGTTGCATGGACAACAACTCCTTGGACTCTCCCAAGTAACCTTGCTCTCTGTCTCAACCCATCTCTCGACTACGTCAAAGTCACAGGTCTTGACTTCTCCCTTTATGTTTTTTTACTCTTAAAGTTTTGTGCAGAGGAAGAGATTGCATATTAGATGACAGGCCATACAGATTTCTTCACTCCCACCAATACACTTTGGTAAAAGGTGTCTTCTTGTGGATTCTTTCTGGCCTTAATTTGAAACTGTATCATGGAACCTGCAACCTGAAATGCAATCTCTTCTCTGAGGTTGAAAGCCTATTTGTGTCATGAGTCAAAGGGGTTTTGTTTGTTTTTTTTGCAGACAGGGCAACAGGAAAAGTCTATGTGCTGATGGAGGCCCGATTGGAAGCTCTGTACAAGGACCCAGATGAGTATGAGATTCTGAAGCGTTTCAAAGCCAGTGCTCTCAAGGACAAGACATACAAACCCCTCTTCCCATATTATGAACATGTTAGTGGTTCAACTAATTCATTAGTTCTCAGTGCATTCACATTGACCTTGAATGAAACTTCCAACAGTTGAAGAAGAGAGGAGCATTTCGTGTCCTGATAGATGACTATGTGACTGAGGAGTCTGGAACTGGTGTGGTGCACCAGGCACCATATTTTGGTGAAGATGACTACCAAGTTGCACTACGAGAGGGTGTGATTACTGTTGATATGGACATGGTGTGTCCAGTGGATGACTCTGGTCGATTCACTCACCCAGTCACAGACTTTGAGGGTCAGTATGTGAAAGATGCTGATAAGGGCATTATTGCATGGCTGAAGACACATGGACGGCTGGTCCATGTCAGTCAGGTCAAACACAGCTATCCATTCTGCTGGAGATCTGAGACCCCACTCATCTATAGGGCGGTGCCATCCTGGTTCATCCGTGTTGCACCAATGGTCAATACCCTCCTCCAGACCAACCAGGAGACCTATTGGTGAGGCCTCTTCTTGTTTGACTCATGTTACAGAACTCCACTCCCCTGCCATTTGCTTTCAGTTAGTTTCTTGTCAGAGCCAGAAGAGAATGAGATGGATATTCTGTGGAATTTGAATGGATTGAGAAAATTTTCAATCATCACAGGGTTCCAGATTTTGTCAAAGAGAAGAGATTTGGGAACTGGTTGCGTGATGCAAGGGATTGGGCAGTCAGTCGGAATCGCTACTGGGGAACACCCATCCCTATCTGGATGTCTGATGATGGCCAGGAGGTCATCTGTATTGGGAGCATTGCTGAACTCGAACAGCTCACTGGTCAGAAGATTGCTGATCTCCACCGGGAAAAGTAAAGTCTTCAAAGTTTTTTTCATGTCATTCTGAAAATGTAAGGGCATCAATTCCAATTTGGCTTTATTTTGCAGTGTGGACAATTTAACAATCCCATCTTCACGCCCAGGACATCCACCATTAAGGAGAATATCTGAGGTTTTTGACTGTTGGTTTGAGAGTGGTTCTATGCCCTATGCTCAAAGTCACTATCCATTCGAGAAGCAAAAGGAGTTTGAAGATTCCTTCCCCGCTGACTTCATTGCTGAAGGACTGGATCAGACTCGGGGGTGGTCAGTGAGAATTGAACCTTTCATATGGCTGTCATGTGTTGAATATGGTTAACATCCCTCTTGTTTAACAGGTTTTACACACTACTGGTGATCTCCACACTGTTGTTTGGAAAACCTCCCTTCAAGAATCTGATCGTGAATGGCCTTGTCCTGGCAGCTGATGGTCAAAAGATGAGCAAGAGCAAGAAGAATTTTCCTGATCCCATGGTGGTTGTTCATAAGTATGGAGCTGATGCCCTTCGGCTATACCTCATCAATTCCCCTGTAGTCCGTGCTGAGAGCCTGCGCTTCAAAGAGGATGGCGTGAGAGATGTCCTGAAGGATGTCTTTCTTCCTTGGTACAATGCTTTCCGATTCCTCATGCAAAACATCAAGCGACTGGAACAGGTTAGTCTCATCATGTCTTGGCCTAGACTTGTGAAGATAACAGTGTACTTATTGAGTGATCAGAAATACTTGCCTTTTACCTCTGTATTGGAAGTGCATCCCACTACAGTTACTGTTGAATATATAGGTGTTATTTATACCATTTTACCTTGCAATTACTATCTTCTTGGTTATAGATCATTTGATTATAACTGCTTTCTTGAATAATGGCTAGTGTTTCATTTGCAAAGCATCATTGTGATGTGACCATTTGCCTGGCATGGCATAGCCTAGAACTCCAGCTTGTATTCATACTCTTGGCCCCATGTGTATGACATCCAGGATTTTAACATTTTTACCACTATGTAAGTCACATATAACATGGTGTGCCAGAATAATACAGCAAAATCACTCCAGCAGTGAAAGTGTTGCTTACAATATTTGTAACAGTAGTATGTCTAGCTTTACTGGCATTTAGTTCCACATTTAGTGTATGCCCTAGAAACTGCATAATCATGTGGATAATCAATTATCAGATCCTTTACTCTGGGTGTTTGCTCAGATCATTGAAGGTCTGAGTGGAGACAGGAACCCCCCCCCCCCGTACTAGTTAACCCCTTAACTGGGTAAGATGCCTTTTGATGTCTGACCTCCCATAGATTAAAATGCATTTGGTGAAAAACTTCCCAGTTAAGGGGTTAAGTTAACCCTCTCCCAGTCCCATTTAAAAGCCATGTATCCCCAGGACGTACACTCTCGGGTGCTTTTGGGCGTTTAAGCCTGGAGAGGGTTAAAGAATAAATGGGAATGCAGGAAGGCTGGAACTAGAGAGAGAGAAAGCAAAAAGAGCAGACTTTTTCATTAGTTAGCTTGTTGGCTCTGGGTGTAACTCTGCTTCTCGTTCCAGTTGGGTTCCTGATGAAGAATTGGCTGTGGGGAAAACTGTGGGGACTCTAAAGCTTTCTGCATTTCTCTCATTGTATGCAGTCTGTGTCACTGAACCTTTGCTTATTGTTGTCATGTGATTGTGGTGCAGGAAGAAGGGAAGAAATTTGAGTGCCGAGAGCTGGAGCTCCATGCATCAACAAACCCTATGGATCATTGGATCCTGAGTTTCACTCAATCCCTCCTTGCCTTTTTTCACAAAGAGATGGGAGCATATTGTCTTTACACTGTGGTTCCTCAGTTGGTCAAGTTTGTTGACAATCTCACGAACTGGTATGTCCGGATGAATCGACGTCGCCTCAAGGTGTGAATCCTTAAACCTCTCTTGATCAATCCACATGCAAATGATGGAGAAGTAATTGCATGACCTTTGAAGGGGGAGATGGGGTTGGAGGACTGTCATCATGCATTGCGGACCCTCTATAGTGTTCTTTACTCCATGGTCCGAGTCATGGCTCCTTTCACACCCTTCTTGACTGAAACCATGTACCAAGCAATGCGTCAATACCTTGATGAATCTTTAGCTAGTGTTCACTATCTCATGATCCCCAAGCCCAGGTGAGTTTCCTTCCTAACTTTCTCTCTATTCATTTCATGAATTGGTTCTTATTTTATGAAATAATTCCCAGATCAATATGATCAGACCAGTATGCATGTTTTATTGAATTTTTATCATTCCAAATCAGTTTCATTTCTTTTACTTTTAAATGGCTTATCATGTCTATTTGATTGCAGAGAGTCATTGATCAACATAGAGACTGAATGGGCTGTAAGCTGCATGCAGAGAGTGATTGAGCTGGGTCGAGTCATCCGAGATCGCAAGACACTTCCTGTCAAGGTAGGCAATCTGTGAAAGAACAAAATATTCTAGACACTTGCAGTCACCTGATGACTGAGTCTCTTCTCTACAGTATCCTCTGCCAGAAGTGGTGGTGATCCACAGGGATCAACGTTGTCTGGATGCCATCAGCAATCTTGAAATGTATGTCAAAGCTGAATTGAATGTCAAGAGACTCACAACATCCACAGACAAGGAGAAGTATGGAGTGCATCTCAGGGCAGAACCGGATCACAAGGTTCTGGGTCAAAGGCTCAAGTCTGCCTTCAAGGCCATTGTTGCAGACATCAAGGTCTCACTTTCAACCTATCCTTGCCCAAGATTGTTTTATATGACTCCTGAATCTAGGGTCCTCTGATTGTATGTGATAGGAACTGGGAGATGATGTCCTCCAAGAGTTCCTGCAGACAGGGAAACTTATCCTTCAAGGCCAAGAACTAGGCCATGAAGACCTTCGCATCATGTATGCATTTGATAATGTCAAGGCTGGAGCAGGGAAGTATGAAGCTCATGCTGACAGCGAGGTTAGTTCATAGATCAGTGAGTTTAAAATATATGGGATACATTTATAGAATGCAGGAGACCCATGGCCCTTAAGGTGTTCTGATTCCAGTCCACATCTGTAATTACATAAATGCATGCTGATGACCTGTTCTTGTTATTAATGCACCAGGAAGGCCTGCAAGTGGCCGTGGACCTCCCATGTGAATGGTCTCAGATGATCAAGATTGATGCTAATCTTACACCTCGAATGTCAGATTGAGCCCTTGGAACTCAATAAGTTAATATGTCTGGAAAAGACATCAGTTTCCCTTCAGTGACTTAAAAGCCAAGTTTTGTGGTACTTGTGAATACACAAGAGCTCTGTTGCAGCCCATTCAAGCAGTTATGAAGCATGTGGATTTTTATTTATAAGGAAATATGCTACTGGTTATGGTTTTCTGAAAATCCTCCTAGAGCTGAATGTGTAATCACCAATAATAATCTTTTGAAAGAAGGGCCTCCCTGTAACATTGTAAATATGCTGAATGCAATAAGCCTCCTTTTGATGGTAAACCACCTCATTGCTGTCAAGACAATAAAAATTACTTGCTAAGATAATTCCATTCCCCCCACTGTGCTGCATCTACTCTTGCCATTGTCTCATTGGTGAATCTACTTTTGGAGAAGAGCTGATGAAGAGATGTCCTGTGACTGAAGATCATTACAAGAAGAAATAATAGTTTTGTCACCAAGAGTTAGAGTTTAGAGTGATAGACCTGCCTTTAAATAAATCTATGAGAACAGAACAACCAACTGATCAAGCAGGTACTGGTTAGATGCACTTCTTATGCCTTTCATTAGGTATATATAGTATTTTGGTTGTACCAAATAATAGTGTAACTCCTGGAACTAAAACTTGTTCATACCCTACAATGGAATCAACCACAAGTTCCATTTGGTGAGAGAGTGGGAATGCAAGGGTGTGAGACCAAGGATGTGTATTGGGAATGTGCAATATTTCTATATGCCTGTAGTTTTATATACTAGATAAGAAGTAAAGTTTTTTTTTCCTTGTACCTGTGCATGTTAGCATAAGTGTTGAGATAAGTCAAGTCACTTTCTCATATCTGCTCTTAATCCTAGTTTCAATCCTGTTTTTTTTTTTTACATGTCTTTTATCAATTTCATGCACATGAAGATGTTGGTGTTGCTGGATGTGAGCCCAGACCAATCAATGATGGAAGAAGGGATTGCAAGGGAGGTGATAAATCGCATCCAGAAACTGCGGAAGAAGGGCAAGCTGATGCCATCAGACATGGTGACGGTATTCTATGCGGTCACACCCTCCAACAGCGACCTTCATAAGATCATACCAGCATATCTGGACGTGATAGAGTCCACAACCAAAGGACCAGTGAGACCAATGGCATCAAAGAAGGGCAATGAAAAAGTCCTCATTCGTGAGAAGCACCAGGCATGTTCCTGATTGTTATAACTGGTTTATGATACAGCATCACTGCATTTCTTACTAGGAATCATGGAATCATCTTGACTCTACATTGTATATCGTTGCTGAACTTTTTGATAGAAATCATTGTATAACTTTGGAAATACCTAATCTTATAATCATTGGCAGCTGAAGGGAAGTGAATTGGAGCTGGTGATCACCCAAGGGTTGACTTCAGATTCCTTGTCAGGTGGAAAGGCTGAAGCTGCCATGCCTTACACAAGGTTAGCATAAAAGTTCTTACAATATGAGCTTCTTTTAACCAAGAAAACCTAGTTTCCACAACTTGGTAACAATACTCTGCTTTGGTATGGTCTAGATATGTGATGCTGGAAAGCCTAGAGGATGGAAGGAAAGGAATGATCCTTCTGGAGAACCCACTTGGATCACCTATCATCTCCTATTTTGATCTAATGCATGCAGTGAGTTCACAGCTACAGCTTTAACATTGGGAATGATTTGGATAATATTTATATTATGAAAATTAAGTTTTTTTTTCTTTTTTTTTTACTTGATCACAGGTCAGAGAGGTGTTTGGTTTGCAGAAACGACCTTTCCACGTTTATCCTTCTTTAGACAGTCAGCAGGAGTTGCAACCAAATGATGTCAGTGAATCCTTATCAGGACAAACCCTGTATGTGGAGAAAGTTGGATTGAAGCATCACAAGAGATCGCTCAGTAATGAAGCCTCTCCTCCATGCCGGTATGCCCCTCAATTATTTTAATTAGAAAGGTATCTATGTAATCTGGAATGATGTGAATTTTCCATTCCAGGTATGTAAATGTGGAACACAAAGGGCAGAAAGGGACGTTATTGTTGGAAAACCCACAAGAAGAGATGCTTTGGAGCCCTCAGCAGCTGAAGATGTACGTGTCCATGTTGTTCCTCATCCCACCAGAGAAACTGCAATTTGGTCCTCTCCCTAACAAGGAAAACATATTTCAACTCCATCAAAAGACCATTCATGTCCAATGACATCTGAGTCTCATCAAGAAGATAGAATAAATATTCTCTCCAGAGATCTGCTGCTGTAAGATATTTTTGTATCTACCCTCTGAGTATTTCCTTACTTCCTTCCTGTGTCCTTAAAACCTTCCTTTTGAAAAATAAAATAAAATAAAAATAGGTGGGGGGGGGGATACAGATACTTAGTAGTAACTACTAGGATGTGGCTTCAAATAGCCAGTCATCTGGTTGCTTGAATGTCTGATGTCGCCCGTAATTTGCAAAACATAAAAGTTGGATTACAGATTATGACATTAAATGGGTGAGATGGAAGCACAAATTTCCCCCCCCCCCCCCCCGAAATTTGCAAAAAGAGAGCTAGGAAATTGTAATCATTGTCGCTGAAAGCGTTGCGCGAGGAAATGGAGAGTGAGTGGAGAAAGTAGACTTGTGTGAGACCGAAGCAACGAAGTGCTTGCTGCCAAAACGGAAGTGGTACTTGGAAGATGAAAGGAATATTTCGAGGAGCTCTTAGACACGCCCACAGTGATCTTATGTACCAGACTGGAAGTATTCTTGCGTGGAGAGTAGCCTCACCATGGCGAAAGTTCTGCAAACTATCTTCTTAAGGCCTGTGTGGCTTAATCCTTGTGTGCCAAATCCTTTTCTCGGTCTGAGGATGCCAATGCTAGCTTGAAAAAAAAAATGAAAGTCTGGTATGGATGTATGAGTGGCACTGAAAGCGATGGATACTTGCGGCAGCATGGAGCGTGTCAAACCGCATTGGAATCGGAGACGGCACCTATGAGGTCTGCCAAACCAGTCTGGTGGTTCCTGTATTTAATAAGGGAGACAAGGGAGTGTGCCAATGACCGTGAAGTCATTATTCTCGGCACATTCGGTAAGGTTAGAGAACAGGCAATCGTTGGAAAAACCATTCGAGAGGAGCAGCATGGTTTTCGTAAAGGGCATAGCACCTTGGATCAGCTCTTTACTCGTCACCTAGATTCTGGAGAAGCATGGGGAGGAGGGGGGAGAAGAAGATTTGCATGTGCTATGCGGACCTCGAAAATGCGTTCAACTGTGTGCTTCCAAGAAGGCTGTGGTGTGTTTTGCTGGAATATGAAATTAATGGACAGCATCTGCCTCCTCAGTCCTCACCCAGCTTTTGCAGGAGTTGCGTTCGAGCGAGCAGTATGAGTTGGGGTTCTTCCTCGGTACGTGTAGGACCCCGCCAGGATTGCGTTATCGTTTCCGGTTCGTTAGGTACCGTTTGGCCAAAAGTGAGGAATCAATGCATAAGCTACCGCAATTGTACAGGTGGCCCACCTGACCATCTTAACCGTAATGCGCAAGTCCACTCACGCAGGACATTCTTGAGCGTGTTTGGGGTGAATGCAGAAGACCACAACGTGCTGCCGGAGTTAAACCAGCTTCGCTCTCCGAGTATCGTAATCTCGCGACTTTATTAATCCCCGAAAGAAAAAAAAAAGTAAACGGGGTGAGGTCAGAGGAACGTGACATTCTATGCCTCCTCATATCCCGATCAAATAAGGAAACATTAATTATTATTATTATCGAACCACATCTGTGCCTCCAAGTCGTGTGGCTTTGCCACATGACACAGTCGGGGCTTGGAGAAGTCGATAGGTCGGAGAGGTTTTCGAGGAAAACATACTTCCCTCTGCAGATGACGTCATCCTTCTGGTCTACTCTGGACGGAAGCTTCAGAGTGTGCCGTATCGGTTCGACTCCGAGTGCACTGCCACTGGGATGAAAGTATTCTTAAAACACGGTTTTCTCGAGATTGCCTGTGGCGTGCATCCTACTTACCTGGAAAACCCCCCTAGAACTGATAGAGAAGTTTATGCATCTCCCGCTCCGATTCTCGGGTGACTGGAGATATGGAAACGAGATTAACGATTGGATCTTAAGGACTTCTGCACTATTGCTGGATCTCTGGCTGGCCATGGGTGCCAAGTCCAACATTAATTTTTGAGAGCGCTTATCTCCGTCATCACTTCTGGCCATGAACTTAGGGGGACGACGAACGAATCAGATCACTTATACCAGCTTGCCAAAACGATATTCTCGCATCGCGAGGCCGATATTGCGCGTCGTGATAAGTGCGGAGTTCGAGGTCCAGGAGACCCACGAGGTCAAACAGCTGCTCCGAATTGAGAGATTCGAGTCGGGTGGATCGGACACGTCCGGTCGGTCGCATGCCCCCTGAGAGACTCCCAAGAAAGTGTTTCCCAGTCCAAGATGACTGGCAGAAGACCACTCGTGTAAGAGGATGGACTACGTCGTGAAAGCTCCCTTACGACAGGTGCGTTTCTCGTGGAAGCCTCCTTCCATGCTCCACTGCGACTAATCCTAATAAGACTTCCGTTCTCGTTCGTGCATCTCCCCTGCACTCTTCATCTTCCACGCCGCATCAACACTACCATGTCTTTCAAGACGCACTGCGTCGGATCTTCGTTCAATTTGAAAGCTCGTCGGCGTTTCCTTCACTTTTGCGATTCCAGTCAAGGAATTCATGGGGTAGTTTCTAAGCTCTGCGGAAAATGCTGTTATCTAGCATCCTCCGTATTGCAGCATTAAGGGATTTTCTGTTAACCGTGAGGTCTGAAAAATGGTCGTTTCAACCTCATCAACTCCCTTTTCGTGTTCATCTGTGGTTTCCTTCACCTTCTCCCTTCAGAAAGCTTGGCGATTTATTTAAAAATATATGTCTTTTCTGTCAAGTATCAGGGCCAAGCGGCTTCATCTTCCACGATTTTTCTCCTCCCTTTTTCGCAATTTTTCTCTGGGTGATAAAAAAAAGAGTATTAAGTAGAGACCACGCGGAATTTCGTCAGATCTCCCCTCCTTCGCTTGGAAGAGTGTGGTTTTTCCCAGACCCCGCCTCTTTTAAGTGGACATGTGGTTTACACTAGGCCCTTGATCGAAAATTCATTGCTATTAAAGTATTTTTTAATTTCTGAGCGAATTAAGCCACAACATTGGGAAACATAGGGAAGCCACATCGAAAGCAACAAGTGGAAACGGTCTTCAGGAAGAAAGGAATCATGGACGCAGTCGCAAAGAATGGGAACAGAAAAATGGAGGCCAATCTTCAGCAGCATTAGCCAATTTCGTCTGCTCAAGGTTGTGTCGTGCTTCCCAAGGTCCAGTATGCACTTTCTTCCTGGTGCGAGAGTTGACTGGGGTCAAGTGACCGGTGAAAAGTCCCAAGTGAATGAACGATAATTTTTTATTCTCATGCATCCATTCAAGATTGTCCGTCGGGAGTCCAAGAGCTTGGGAGTGACCGTGACCGTGGCCATGACCATGACCATGACCATGGCTATGGCTATGGGTAATGAAGAATGCAATCCGTCATAGCGTGGGAAGAGACGTGTGTTCTCCATGCACCATTGAAAACCATGATTGAACCAGATTCCTCTCAGTCGCCAACTCCTGCTCGACCAGAACTTCACCATTCACCCGTCGATCCCTTTGATAGTACCGAATTAGTACTGAAAGAGAGAGAAGACAAAAGAACCGTGTCCTTTGAGTACCATGGGTCAGGGGCCTTGACCGATGAAAATGGTTGCTTCAAAAGTACAAACTACTTGTGTAATTGCTTCAGTCAAACCTGTAGCCAGTAAATGACATCCAGGTGTAAAAGCTCAGCCTTTGTTCTGGCCTCTTGTTTACGATCCACTAAAATACCCTGCCAGGTTGAAAAGAAGGAATTTAACAAGTGAGGGAGAAAATTGCATCTCCATAGATAGGTCATGACTCTCATACTAAGATCGGTTTAAGCGTAGCTACTGAATTTTCGTTCCTCTGGTTTGGAATAACACGAGACCATGGTTGAATCTGGGACCCATTAATAGGAACCGATTCCTAATCAGATCGGCTGTGTGCATTCAGCCGGCATGAGACGAGTCTCAAGGACGCCTGCTTCTCCGGTTCACGTGTACTCAAACATCCTGTAATTTTCTGTTTCCTGTGGCATTGAATACACCTGGTTCTCCTCCTCCCGATTTTTCACTTTTTTTCCACCAATATACTCGTTCTGGAATGCTGGAGATGTCCAAAAAGAGTAAAGAAAGGAGAAAACGGGAGGGACAGCAGGGAGCAGCGCCCAGAGGCCAGGGGCTGGATGGAATGGGAAGGCGGGGCGGGGCCTTGGATGACGTCATTCCGGCGTGAGTGGATGGCGGGCGCGGGAGGGCGGAGGGGGACCGCTCCAGTCAGTCAGTCCGCGGTATCAAAGGGAGAACCAGGCTGTCTGTGAGACGTGCGAGATGTGAATTGTGAGATGCGGCCCAACAGGTGACAGTAACCCGGTGTCGCCGTTCTTTGTGATTGTCTCTTCACTTTTCATGCAGCGAAGACGGATTACGATGTGAAAATGTGCTGCTTTCGACGCACATTCAATGCGCTTCTGGTCCTTCTCTCTTCCACGCTCCTCCAGGTACTTTCTCATCTTGAAAACGCCCTTTGGTGATGGGTGTAACCAGAAAAGTAAGTACAATTGATAGCCGCCTTCTAAAATGTAGATCCTGATCCAGCCTTGCAGAGAAGGGCATACGCAAGATTGGTTTTAGGGTGGGGGGGGAGGGGGGGGGGGGGGGGGGGGGGGGGAGAGAGAGAGACAATCGAAATTCCTCTTTATGCATGATGATCAGGCACAATGAGCGGACTTCCGCGATCCCCATCATCCCATTATGGAATCGGAACAACCACACCCGACATATTCACAGCGGAGGGAGAGGAACCAGTTCATCATAGAAAAAAAAGAGAGAAAAAGCCTACGCAAAACCAATCTTGCGTATGCCCTTCTCTGCAAGGCTGGATCAGGATCTACATTTTAGAAGGCGGCTATCAATTGTACTTACTTTTCTGGTTACACCCATCACCAAAGGGCGTTTTCAAGATGAGAAACTTTCACGTGTAGATACAGATCTGGAAGCGCAACGCCGTCATGTGTGTCATCGGCACATCTCCCATCGGCTCTTTTTTTCCCTTGTGGAGAAAGATCAGCCATCCGTGATTCCCCCTTTCTCCCCCCCATATAGACAATTTTCTGCGTGCTCTTCATGCTTCGCAAGTCATCGGCGCGCTCCAGATACTTAGTTTTAATTTTCACAAAAAGATGCGGCTTTTTTGTTTCCCCGCGACGGATGCGATCTGTGTCGTGTTGGAGCCATTGTATGCAGAGCGGAGATTGGGCAACCCTGATGCATGAAGCATGAAGGATCCTTGGGCTTTCTATATAAGGAAACTGGAGATGAGATGCGAAGGGAGAGGGGGAGCCCAGCCCAGAATGCACACACTCACATATGACTAATCTTGACACGGGATAGTGCGAGAAATTCGGACTGGAGTGCAGCTGTAGCCCGAGGGTGATGGTCCTTGAAGGGGGAGGATGTCATCTGGTCGTGATAATTGACCCCAAAGTGCTTCCGATCCCCCCTGGCGATGAAGAAGAGACAACAGCTGCCCCCCTCCCCCCCTGTCCCTCCTCCGTAAAAGGCCAAAGGGTCTTATAAGGATGATGCAAGGAGTCATACAGGATGGAGGCGAGACGCCATATAAAGGATGTCCAGCCCGAGCAGGGATGTCGGAATGCGCGGATCCGACCCAGGAATCCCAACCACCGTGACAGAATTTTTTTCTTTTTTAGCCTCGAGGGGCGAGTTCCATCATCATCATCATGCCCAGCTTTCACTCTCTCTTTCCTTAGACTCCTCTTCCTTAGAGGGACTTCGACGCCCGGCTCACCGGCATGTCCACGCATATTCTTTTTTTTAATACCTCTGCCGGCCTCTACGTGACTCCCCCTCCAGCCACCGGCTATCATCCATCTCATCCTGTTGCGAGGACAGGAGTACTGTGGCGTTTCGATTTTGCATCTCTGTGCGCAATGAGTTTCCTCCCACTTTTAGGAGTTTAATCGCCTATTGATTATATCGCAGGTTTACCTTGTGAGGTAAATCCGATCATCTCAATTAGGAATGAGGTCATCTAAGGTCAACCCATACACGGTGATGCAAGATCCGAGGCCTTGGTTGTCTCCAGCAGCGCAGTCAAGGCAGCCTCGCCTCGATGACATTAATAACATTTAGCTTTGCGTGTTTATGACGGATTTGCTGATCGCCATATGCCAGTGATGCATTCATATGCCAGTCTGCATCATCTGATGGAAGCTCGGATGATCACCAGATTCATTCACCGTCTTGATATCCATTATTGCAGGGTGAATGAGCGATATTGTAACGATCATCGTAATCATCATAATCGTTTGATGATATGTCTATCTTCTGATAATACAGAGAAGGCATTTACTGCAGTTTTGGACGGGTTATTTTTTTCAGTACACGCAAGTCTCTTCCTGGCGAGGTCCTTGCCCGTGTCTGCGTCAGCTGCTCCTGACATGCTTTCGCCGTCGGGCCGTTATGAATAAACATGTCTTAAATTATTTATAGCGTTCCTTCGTGCACCGATTAAATTTTTTAATTTCGTGAGCGAGAGGCCTCCAATGTTGCCCAGGCACGGGATTTTTTTCTCTCTTGAGTCTGGGAACCGTCTCGAGACCTCCCTAAGAGCCCGGGTTTTGCGAACGAGTGTGGGAAAAAAAAAAGCCGTAAAAAAAAAATGTTAACCGCTAAGAGCCGTCTCCATTTGTAGTACTGGAAATACGAGAAACAATGAAAAATGTATCCTAGACGTAATATACAGTTAGAGCCATCCTTCACGTGTGTACGAACACTAGCTTCGTGAGCCGTAAATAAATGCGCAATAGGAAGTCTCTATTTCGATATGGACGAGGACAATCGTTGGATTATATGCACCTGAGACTCCATCTAATTAGATTGAATGGCTGGGAGGGGAAGAATGAGAAGCTTTACGCATCAGAGATCTTCGATGGAAGAATGGAAGGAAAAGCTCTGTCTCTGGAGCCCTCGTGTCGTGTCATTGGCCGCAGGATTCCGTTAGTCTCTCATCCGTGAAATACTCATGATGATCATGATGATGATGATGATGCAACAAGATCGGAGGCCTTGACTGGCTCCGAGGAGCATGATGAATGGCCGAACGAATGAATGAGTGTCTTTTTCCCTTTCATTTCTTTAAAGGTGAGCTGGGGTCAGGTGGAGGGAGAGGCGAGGAATGGCCTGGGGCCCGAGTTTAACCCTCTGGTCACCGCCGTCTGTCGCAAGGGCATCATGACCATCACCGTCCAGACCGAGGACCCCTTCTTTGGTATGAACTTGCGCTGAAAAATCTTCGCTTTACGGAAATTTATTCGCCATCACGGAATTTTTGGTCGAATTTAAATAATATCGTTGTGGTAAATATTCAGCTGCTGCGGTCGACCGTAAGTCGACGAGGAGTGATCAAAACGTGGAGATATGAGCATTCTTTTTGCTTTGCTTTTTTTAATCCCGGCTGTCACGGTATGGCAGGAAAGAGATGGAGCGTTTATGGTAAGGGGACACGGGGCATGGTCCCCGGGATATGACGCAACAGAACTCGGCGAGCCCGTCCGACAAAAGGCCCTGCCGTTCGCGACGAGGTCAAGGAACGAAACCATCTCGAGTCGGAGCCTCGCAGAAATGGTGAGACCCGGTCGGATGCGATCGCGTTCTCATAGGGGAGACTGCCCGGGGGGGAGGGGCGGGAGGGGGGGGGGGGCTTCGTCCTTCCAGCCCTTCCGCATCGACCTGAATGCCAAGAAGGACTTTTTCCCTTTTACCCGGATGATCGATCTTGCATTCCCATCAAGGCCTTCCCACAACCTGGGAAGTTTTCGAACGAGATTTCCATCGGGATAAGGGACCCCCCCCTCGCAGGATCGTCCATCATCTTCGTTATTCTAGGGTGTTCGAGAACGTATTCTATACGATGCTCTCCGTCCGTGGCGCCGAAATAATTTCTCTTCCGTCTAATAGGCCCACTCCTGCGCCTCTTTTCACTTCCCAATCCTCTCGTTGGGTTACGCCCGTTCGTGGTTAACCCTTGGGGCGTATGGCGTCATTGTTCGTTCTCAGATTTTTTTTTGCGATACCGATCTTTCTGCCCTGTGTCGCTTCTCTCGTTCGTGGTCATTACGGGTCGTTACACAAGCAATAATTATAATTAACTATGTTGTT